TATGGCATTCAGCTTTGTTCGGGTATTTTCCCACGTCATTGTAGTTGTGCTTTTAAAGTTGTAGCAACGTTTCGGCAGAATCTCATCTGCCATCATCAGGCTTCTGTATAGTATTCATCTGTGAGTCAGGCTTTTATAGTGGTTTCAGATTTAAATTTGGGGCAGCCTACTGCTGTGCCAGAATGGTTTTTTCTTCACCCTGATTGGTTGGGAGTCTTGGTCTGTGTTTATTGGTCTTGGAGTTTGCTTTGTTCTGCTTGATTAGTGTTTCTAATATCTTCTGTCTGTTTTTTGGCTCTTTTTGTATCTTGATTGGCTGGCAACATTGTGTTACTTTATTGGAGGCCTTTAGTGCAGCTTGGCTCCGAGTAAATGGATGGCTATCATTAGTTAGGAAGCTAGGTTTCATCTGGGTGCCTCGTTGGGGTGTGTTTGGGCTGGAGGTATCAGGGGGGATCTGTCTGTGCCCACAGACAGATATATTTGCCCACACATATTGAATTTGTATCCATTATGCATAAATAATGTATATTTGCTCATAAGTTGCAAATAACATCAAGTTTTCAATCCACCAATTATGCCATGAAATAAATTTTCAAAAATCAATTTCCATTGTTCACTAAATTCCATGTAATTGTATATACTGTAGTTCAAAGAATTCAGTTCCATTGTTCATCAATTTTATATAATTGTATATAGTTCCAAAGAATATGAATGTCCTAAAATATTAAACCTTGTGTCACGGTCAAAATGTTAAAATGTCAATGATTTCTTCCAAGAATAAATCCATTTCTGATTGATTGATTGATTGCTTATGTGCCATCAGGTTAAAGTTGTCAGTTAGTGACCACATAAATAGATTTTCTCCAAAATAATTTGTCCCTAACCTGGTCCTTCAAATTTTCCAACCGGGCAGCCATAGCCACTATAACTGTGTCCATCTATCTTGTTGTTTGTCATTCTCTTTTCCTCTATCCTTCCACCTTTCCTAGTGGGTCTTCATACAATATGTTTATAGTAAGATAATTTGAGTTTTGTTATTTGTGTCTAAAGTGAGTTGATTTGTTTGGTGATCCATTTTTAATTTCTTAGCCGTCCATGGTATTCTCAGTTTTCTCTAATATCAAAAGCACCAATAGCTTTCTAATTCAATAACTATTGTATTTTGGGATATTGCAAATACGTGTCTTAATGAAGCATTATTATCCAGCAGCACAATTTCCTTCTTTCTTTTCTATACAAATGCAGTGGGCCAGAATACTGCCAGAATATTATTTTTTGTTAAATAAATTGTAGTCTAAGTTCTATTGACGTTTTTATATGAAATCAATAGATCTTAAACTACATTTTTTCTCAATCTTCACATAATATTGATATCTCTCATTTTTATTTAGTCTTCAAATTTTTATATAAAATTGATTTGTACATAACAAGTATTTATAAAGACTGGTTGTGAGCCTTTTTATCTCATAAGATTTGGTGATCTCTTATGTCAAATTAGGTGTTGCTGAAGGCCCAGAGCAAGTTGTTAACAGATGTTGCTACCGGGCAGCAAGAGACAAATTATATTTATTTTTTCACATAAGAAATGAAAAATAGTCTTCATTATCACTCCATAATGGATCTAAAATAAAAATTCAACATCCATCCAAATCTTTCATGTAGCAGGTGTTTTTTTAATCAATTACTTTGTACAGTAAATTTAATATGAGAAAAAGGGATAAAAATATAATTTTCAAGGAATGGTATAGCACAGTTTTGGAACTAATATCATATCTAAACTATTATATTTTGAGCTTCAAACAATCCAATTAACTAAAAACACTATGCATTCCAGGAGAGGGAATTTATACCAAATAAAGCCAGTCAAAAATATGTTGATTAGGTAATTCATAATGATATAAATTCAAGATTTGAGATATCATATCCCAGTCCTTGATTGATAACTGAAGAACAGCATAGAAATAGCACAGCATACTGAGTTTTTGAAAATATTTTTCTGGCATATTTAAATCTTTTATGCTTTACTGTGAATGTGAGTTATGATTTCTGGAATGCTTCCCCAATCAAGGTTATAATATCTGGGTTGCATAACTCCAGATGTTTACTAGATGATAGCAACAAGATACAGAAAATCTTTGCTACCTCCTGTTGATTGTTTGGGGTTTTGCAGCAAAATATCATAATTCTATCTTGACTTTATGCTGCAAGATAAACTGGGTTTACAAAGATTTCTTGATGTTCATAGAGTAATTATAATGAAATATTGTTAGGGTTGAGCATGAATAGATAAAAAATGTAAAACCACCCAATAAAAATGCATGTGTGTAGATTCTATTGGTTTGAGCAATATGCACAAATAAATTGGGTGAAGGTTTGATATATATTTTAATTGTGCTATTTTGTTTAAATCCAAATAATTTCCTAGGCTGTCTCCTAAACAATCTTTTTTAAAAGCTGATATAAATAATTCGATACTTAATTCAGAAAAAAATAAAAGTTCCCCCTTCCCTAAAGCAGATGTGTGTTTTTTTAAAAAAAGTCTGAAATAGAAATATAGATCTTGGAATTGATAGTTGTTGGATCTTGACAGACTAGAACACACACACTAGAACAGGCCATATCTAATAAAATGAAATTCAATATAGAGAAAAGTAAAGTCCTACACTTAGGCAAGAAAAACCAAAAGTACACATATAGACTGGGTGAAACCAGGCTCAATAGCAGTAACTGTGAGAGGGATCTTGGAGTCTTAAAGGACAACCAGCTAAATATGAGCCAGCAGTGTACAGCAGCAGCCAAAAAAGCTAATGCAATCCTACGTTGTATTAAGAGAGGGATACAGTCAAGATCAAGGGAAGTACTAATACCACTCTATAGAGCCTTAGTAAGACCACACCTAGAGTACTGCATCCAGTTTTGGTCACCACATTATAAAAAAGATGTTGAGACTCTAGAAAAAGTACAGAGAAGAGCAACCAGAATGATTAGGGGACTGGAGGCTAAAACATACAATGAACGATTGCAGGAACTGGGCTTGGCTAGTCTAGTAAAGTAAAGAGAAGGACCAGGGGAGACATGATAGCGGTCTTCCAATATTTGAGGGGCTGCCACAGGGAGGAAGGGGTCAAGCTATTTTCTAAAGGTCCTGTAGGCTAGACAAGGAATAATGGATGGAAACTGAACAAGGAGAGATTTAACCTGGAAACAAGGAGAAACTTTCTGACAGTGAGAACAATCAACCAATGGAACAGCTTGCCCTCGGAAGTTGTGGGAGCGCCATCACTTGAGACTTTCAAGAAGAGATTGGACTGCCATTTGTCAGAAATGGTGTAGGGTCTCCCGCTTGGGTGGGGGATTGGACTACCGTATTTCCCCATGTATAAGCACCCC